TTCCTAGGAATCAGCAGTTAAGAAATGATTCTCAATACAGGAAATGTTTGATGCTCAAGGCCACATGACATGTAGTTGTGTGAAAGAAGAAATTTCTTTGCTGAACAAAAATGGAAAAGCTATTAAATAAATATAGAACATCTATGTGAAGGAATGCTATGCAGTCACTAAATGACACACTTAAAAAGGGAAAGTCGATTTTTGCAAATTTCTGTAGTCTTAGCTTTTTAAAAATTTATGTTTTATTTATAATTAGCATATAATTATTGTACATGTTTCTGGGCTCTAGTAAGATGTTTCAGTGAATGTATACGTTGTACAGTGAAAAAATCAGTGTAGTCACTAAATCCATCACTTTAAATATTCATCATTTCTTTGTGGTAATAACATTAAAAATCTTCCCTTCTAGCTATCTTGAAATATACACCACATTGCTATTTGCTATAGTCACCCTATTCTGTAATTAAACACGAGCACTTATTCTTTCTGACCAACTTTAACTCTGTACAGTTGACCAGCCTCTTCGGGTCCTCCCTCCCATCTACTCACCTCAGCCTCTGGTAACCATTATTCATTATTCTACTCTCTATTTATAAAACTTTTTTAGATTCTATATATGACTGAGATCATGCAGTATTTGTTTTTCTACACTTGGCTTATTTCACTTAATGTAGTGATCTCCAGGTGTATCCATGTTGTTGCAAATTACAGAATTTCATTGTATTTTAGGCCTGAATAGTATTCGTGTGTGTGTGTGTGTGTGTTTGTGTGTGTGTGTGTGTGATATCACATTCTGTTTTATGGCTGAGTAGCTTTCTATTGTGTGTGTGTCTGATACATCTATATCTGTATATCTCTTTTTCTCTCTCTCTATATATATCGTATTATGTTTTCTTTATCCATTCATCTGTAGATGGGTATTTACATTAATCCATATCTTGGATATTGTAAATAGTGCTGCAATAAACATGAAGTGCAGATGTCTCTTTGACATACTGATTTCATTTCCTTTAATTTATACCCAGTACTGAGATTGCTGGATCATATAAAAGTTCTATTTTTCATAAAAATCTTTATATTGTTTTCTATAATGCCAGTACTAATTTACATTCCCACCAACAGTGCATAAGAATTCCCTTTTCTCTATATTCTTGCTAGCATTTGTTATTTTTTGTCTTTTTGATAATAACCATTCTAACATGTATGCGGTGATATCTTTTCTGGTTTAATTTGCATTTCCCTGATGATTAGTGATGTTTTGCATTTTAAAATATATCTATTGGCTATTTGTGTCTCTGATTTTGATAGTTGCCTATTTAGGTCTTCTGCCCATTTTAATCAAATTATTATTATTTTTTGGTCCTCATGCCTTTGAGTTTCTTATATAGTCTGGATTTTAATCCATTGTCATTGCATACTTTGAAAACACTTACATCCATTTTGAAGGTTTTGTCTCCATTCTGTTGATCATATCTTTTGCTGTGCAGAATCTTTTTAGTTTGATGTAACCTCATTTCTAATTTTTGCTTTTTGTTGCCTGTGCTTTGAGGTCTTATTTAAAAAATCCTTGTCCCGTTCAATTTAATGACTTAATTTGTTCTTCTAGTTTCATAGTTTCAGGTCTTTAATGTAGGTCTTCAATTCACTTAGGATTGATTTCTTATATATGGTGGTAGGTGGAGATATAGTTTCATTAGTTTGCATGTGGATATCTAACGTTCCCAACACAATTTATTAAAGAGACTGTCCTATTCCCAATGTATGTTCTTGGGCACCTTTGTAAAAAATTAGTTAGCTGTACACACATGGATTTATTTTTGAGTTCTCTATTCTGTTCCACTGGTCTAGGTGTCTGCTTTTGTGCCGGTACCATGTTGTCTTGTTTATTTTGTGGAATACTTTGATGTCAAGTACTGTGATGCCTCCAGCTTTGGTCATTCTGCTCAAGACTGCTTTGCCTATCCAGGGTCTTTCACATTTTTAAATAAATGATAAGTTCTTAAAAATTTTTCGTAGTTGACATTCTCATTTTCTCCCTACTTTCCTTTTATACTTCTTCCCTTTTCTCCTCCATTTCCTCCCTCAAACATCAGAAAGATGTACTGGAGGAAGTTTAGTTTAAAATAAATGGTGAAAGAAGTTTTTTGTGAATAAATTGGTCATTATTATTTCACCACAAAGATGTAAAAAGTGAGAATTAAAGATATTAAACAGCTTTGCCCAAAGAATACAGAACTACTAAGCCTGGGTGGGGCCATGCCATGCTTCTTCCTGCTTACCCACTGAATTTGATCCTCTGATCCTTCAGTTATAAAAGAATGATCTTTCTCATCTCTTCAAATGCTAATGTAACGGAGTCCAGTCTGATATGATGATATGATTTCCACATTCATACCACAGAAAGTGTGTCAAGGAAGTAAAGAAGGTAATTGAATTATGTTCATGGAACTATCAGGTCTTCAATATGTATGCATATGGAAACAAGTTCGAATTGAAATGAATTTTAAATAAATGAGATCCCAAAATATTTCCTTCAGTCATTTATTTATTCACTTGCCATGTATTTATTGAGCACCTTTGTTTTCTCAGACCTTGTGCTTGATATTTGGGATAGAAAAATCAGTAACATACGTCTTACTCTCAGGAAGTTCACTGTCAAGTGAAACCTCTCTCTCTCTCTCTCTTTCTCTCTCTCTCTCTCTCTCTCTGACACACACACACACACACACACACACACACACACACACACACACTAAAGCTACACACATGGTGTGGTAATTATACTGATAATTATACAAGGTATTAAGAGGCACTCAAAATATTAATACAACTATCCAGCCTGTGAAGAATTTCTGGAGACAAGAAGAGAATGTCTTAGTGAAGTTACAGAATATAGTTATCTAAAAAGGGATAAGAAAGAATATTACAAAGACAAGAACACTCTAAGTTTAAAAGGAAGGGTGGCAAGACATGAGTTTGGCTAGCTGAAGTAGACAATAGAGAAACGTGTTCATCTGTGAAAAAAATTCAGACTTGAACCACTGGAGAGAACTGACAAAATCTTAAAGCAAATGCTTCTATTTATCTCCACCTTTTATTTTCAACAGCTGCTGGAGCTCTCTAATGGCTTTATAAGAAATAGCCATTAGTGGGCCAAACCATGATCTAATACGCCGTTTGCCTAAAAGATACGGAGACCCTGAATTAGGGCAGTGATAGCAGGGATAGAACAGAAAGGATAAATCCAAACAATAATTAGGTTAATCTACATTAATCTGAAGGTATGGGTATTTCCAATATATACACACCCACAGCTTTTGCATACAATTTTAGGGACTTCAAAGATCTCAGAGCACATCCTAAGAGTCCATTAGTCCTCACTGAAGGATCCTTAGTCTACAATAAGTGAAACTGTGATGAATGCCTATGGAAATTAGTTGGAATTAATTTGCAGTTAAAATTATTAAATTAACATTGCTTTTAAGCACTTAATTAAGATGGCCTACTCCTTAAATTGAGTAAAATTTTATTTTAGGAATGATTTCTTAGGAAGTAAAAGTATTCTGCTTTTCCTCTTAAAAGTAAAAAAAGGATATTCATTATTTGATTTTTCCAAGGTATGTAAAAACTTGCCATTCCTAAGGCACAAAACAAAACACATAACTGATACATGAAAAAGCTAAATAAATTAACACTAGGTCATCTACGTGGCAAATCTTTAATACTGTGTTTAGTGGGGACTTCCCAAGTCCAAAACTATAACGATAGAAAACTTATGTAATTGCGTGGAGAGAAATATTTTAAACTTTAAGTCATAGGTGTCAACCCTATGAATGCACTTTTTAAGTATCATACACAATGTAACTATTATATATTTTAATATGACAAAATTGAAGCATATTTAAAATTATATTGATCAAATCTTACATTCTTAAATAGCAATGATATAAAATTGAAATAAAGAAACTATGTGGATGGCCATATCATTTAGCAGATGGGTGGTTCAAATTTCCCAGCATACTGGATGCCAGTAAAAAGTGACAGTCAAAGCACCAAATGGCAGCATATGGTTACTTCAATTAATTTCAAATTTGATCATTTCCTTTTTGACTCTTTCCATACAACTAAACTATGGCTAGGGGAAGGAGTGAATTAGCATAATTAACAAAAAAGGCTAAAATTATTAGCATTGTGAAAAGAAAAATAAGAAAATGGAAATTGACAGTTTATAAATTGAGTATTTCATGAGTAACCCAAATTTACCCTATGAAACTTTTAATTTAATTACACAAAATAGGAAGAACCTAAAATTAATCACTTAAAATTACTCAGTAATAAAGTTATAATAAAGGATGTTCTATTTATTGACTTTGGTGAGGGTTACACGAGAGTGTTCATTTTGAGGTTATTTGCTGAAATACATCTACTTTTCTATACTTATATTAACTTCCTAAAAATCTTTAGAATCTGAATACATAAAGAAAAGTAAATAGGGTTATCAGTGCTTTGCACGGTGTAGATCTTACTTCAAGAAGAAAATTTTGGGAGAGTTTATATCTAGCTAAGGCAAGAACTAAAATTCAAAAATTTATTCTTTGAGTTACAATTACAAAAAGAAATTATCCAAATGGGTATATGACAAACAACTGCTACTTGGGGAACTTAATGGATGTGACTTTACTGTGATCAGTGGAACAGTCAATGCATTCTAATAGAACTTTCTAAGATGTTGGAAATTTCCTTTATCTTCATTGTTCAGTATAGGAGCCACTAGCCACATGCAGCTACTGAGTATTTGAAATATGGCTCCTGTAATTAAAATATTGAGTTTTAATTTAATTGAAATTCATTTACATTTAGATAGTTCCATGTGGCTAGTGGCTACTGAATTGGACAGCTAGAGTAAGCAAACTGAAACTAAATATTTACCTTTCATTTTCAAGCTAATGAAGTTGTACATACCAAAAAAATAAAATAAAATTACACTTTTCGTTTTCCAGGGTTCCAGTCTGAAGTGTCTTGTTACTGCTGACAAGACACGCATGACTGACCATTTGCTCCCTAAGAGATGAAAACTGACATTGCTTTGAAATTCAAACTGACATTGCCAGTGAGCTTCACTTTAAAATGGAACAACTGCTTTCTAGTTAAAGGGGTTCTCAAAGGGTCTAAAGATTTGCTGTCATGAAAATACATGCTTTGCCACTGCCTTTTTTTCTTTTTCTAAGCAGTAACAGGCTACCACTGTCAGAAAGTTGCTTAATTTTTCTTGAAAATATTGGAATACTAATGGCAGTGTTTCTGTGCAAGGCTCCCTAAAGCTCAAAATTTGCATGTTAATAGCCAGCTGAATGCAAAATGCAGTTCTTCTAAATGCCTTCCATAATATTTACTGTTAGATTCTGTTTTCCCACTCTGACCCACATAGTTACCTAGTAGTATGTAGTAGTTATGATAGTGTTTTGTAATGCCTACTTAACTTTCTGCCTTCCTCATCAAACTGTAAACACAGGAGGGCAGGAGCCGTATCTTATTTACTGTACACAGAGTTTATTAATATTTGCAGGTTAGAATGAATGAAACAAATCCCAAACATCATGATGTTAACAAACGTACAAAAGTGAAAGATGAAGGGCAGGTATTCATCTCATTTAAATTCACTTGATTACATACATAAGTGCCAACATGCTTCTCTCTAGTGCCCACGGCATATGTCATTTTAAAGACCTCTTAATTTATATTGTAGAAGAATGTGATTATGTGTAAGAACTCAAAAGGGAGGATTGGAAAACAAGAGACAGCTAATAGATTGCAAGCCCGAGGCAAAAATATAAGAGGTGGAAATCAGCGTTACAAGAGAAACACTTTGCATGCTTGTGTGTTTAAATACTTTCATAGTACACTAAGTGTCTACCAAACTTTTCTAAAGGAGCCAGATAATGAATATTTTAGGCTCTGTGGACCATAAGGTCTCCATTACATATTCTTCTCTTTTTTTATTAAATAAAAAAAATGTACCCTATAAAAATGTAAAAAAATATTGTTATATCACAGATTATTAAAACAGAAGTAGGCTGTGATCTTGATTTGCCTAACAGACCATAGTCTGCCTACTCCTGACATGCAAAATAGACATTATTGTTGTGAAAACTTTAGTGATTTGTTTTTTTGGCCTCAAAGAAGAAAATTGGCACCTGAATGTTTTGCATTCAAAATTCTACATTCACAAAAAAAAAAAAAAAAAAAAAAAAAAAAAATGACCAATTCAATTTTGAAGTCAATTGATGTTTTGGAAAATGTTTATTTTGAATTCAGATACTTCCACAACTATGACTCCATGCAGTCCATGTTTAAACAGGAAAAAGAGAGAGAAGAAAAGGAAAACAGTCAAGAAAAATTATTCAGAACAATATTGAACCTAGTTACAGATGTGTTTGCAGGTGGCACAGGCAACAAGTAATAAATAATCTCATTAATAAAGCCAGCATTTAATAAAAACAGTAACCCACATTCCATAGAATGCTAAAATATCTCAAAATGCAAGTTGTATACAGAAAAGGATATCTTTCTATATGCACAAGTAGCCTCATTAAAGTGGAATAAGTCTTTTTTGTAGTCTCATCACTAGTGCTAGCTATGAAAGTTATTGTACCCCATGTCCAAATTTTCTTTTTCTTTTCATATATTCTCCACATCATAAAAAGGAATACTTAAAAGGGAGACAATGCGCCTGTTCTTTGTTTTGCCTATAAAATCAATACGTAGGCTGGGTACGGTGGCTCAAGTCTGCAATCCCAGCACTTTAATAGGCTAAGGCAGGTAGGTCAGAGGTTCAAGACCAGCCTGGCCTGTGTGGTGAAACCCATCTCTACCAAAAAGACAAAAAATTGGTGTAGCATGGTGGTGTACACCTGTAATACCAGCTACTGGGGAGACTGAGGCAGGAGAACTACTTGAACCCAGCAGCAGAGGCTGCAGTGAGCCAAGATCCCACCACTGCACTCTAGCCGGGACAACAGAGCAAGACTGCATCTCCAAAAAAATAGAAAAACCAGTATGTGATTCTCCAAATAATGTATGATTACTAGATTTTTTTAAAATGACATGTTATACCTTCTAAATACCACAAAAGATAATTCTTTTCTTTTCTGGCTTATCACATGAATTATCCCTTTACATGTTCATTGTAAAGGCATCTTAAAGGTTTAACATCAATTTACTGAAAAGCACGTAAATAGAATATATACGTCATTTCAATACCTCCAACCATATACAGTATTTGATTATTTTAAGTACAGAACAGATAGTCTCCTAGAGAACCTAGGTTTCAAAAAACACTGTCAAGCAGTTTTAAAATAACCCCTTAATTTTGAGAGACATAAATGTTTGGGGGGGAAAAGTGTTACCCACTGAATTAAAAATAAAGTAGCTAACAAAAAAATCAATGTTTTGTAAATCTGTTTTCTCTTAGCTCAAATTCCTACAGTGGTCAAAGTAGGATATAATTTTTCTTTTTGACGAATGTTGTCCAGTTTGACAAGTAAATAAATGTTTAACTCTTTTCTGTTCTCGCTGCAGAAAAAAGAAGAAATAGAAAATAACTGCAGCACATTTATGACATTCGTTTCTTTCTCCACGTGAAACACACAATGAAAACACTTTATAGATGAATTGTGCCTTCGATTGAATAGAGAACGGTGGACTAGCTTTGGTTTTATGGAATTGGATAATTTGTCATAGTTTCTGCCCCTGGGAAAATGATAACCCAAAGGAAAACAAGTGGAAAAACTTTTAAAAATAGTGATAAAACACACAGCTGATATTTTTGGTTCATAGAAGACTTTAAAATACATAATTTACAAAGCCAATTACTAAGTTATAAAAAAATGCTATCATCATCAACAAACATCCACAGAGCTTTCGGTTTCAACACAAAGCTCTCCTCTTACTTCACATGATATTAGTCATGAAAAAAATCACTTGGAGATTGCTCCACGGTTATCATATTCTTTGCTAACCTCCAATTTCTTATTATTTACTATTATTAGTTATTATTTATAAATATGAATGCGCTATTAATGAAAGCATGCTTTATGTAGAACATATATATTTGAACTTTATTTTCCTCACATATTATTCATCCTGCAATATGTCAACACCAATAAGAGTATCTGAATATTAATTGCCCCATCACTATAGTGGAAATTAGAAGAAAGTTTTCCAAATCTGAGTAGAAAAACATATCGGCAGAAAAATCTGATATCCATATGTCTATTTATGGAATTATAGCAACAAAATCCAGCGAAAAAATTTTAGTTTGCTTATTATGTCGTGGCAAAATGTAATACCTTTTTCTCACCCATTGCAAGGGTCACAGTTGACATCCCATAATTAAAAAAAAACAGATGAACAAGAAAAATGCGTAACATATTTATTTAACAAAGTCTTAAATGACGTGGGAGCCTTCAGAAATGCAGATCCAATCCCGGAGAAAATTTGCATTTGTATTCTAAGTCTGAGGAAAGAAGTGAATAGTTGTGGAGAAATGTGATTTAACAAAAAGAGTATGATCTAACGATAATAAACTGAAAGGAATTTAGTAAGGCCTGCCTCTTCAGATTCTTCTCATCCTTTCTGTATAGCATACCTTCCCCCAGTTTAGGGAAGAACTGTCAGAAAAGGGTCTTCTGACCTATTTTCAGGGGAGGTAGGTCAGAGTGACCCTTTCAGCTTTTACAGCTAAAAGGTTTTAGGTTTTATGCTGTGAGAGAAAGGAATTCTAGTTTCTATGGGCCACCATGGGAGAGAGGAGAGCTAGAGAAGGGAGAGCGGGAGAAGGTCAGAGAGGCCTTCCTTATGAGGCTCTTCCAATACCCTTCAGTTCAAAGTACTCTACATGCCAAGATACCATATATTGGGGTATCATGTTCTGAGTCCTACTGGTTAATAATATTTTTCGAAAAAAATAGGGAAGGAAAGAATTTATTTTAGAATGCTATTAACCAGATTTTAAAGTCAAATTTGAAAATGATGCCAAAAATCATACTGATTTTCTTTTTCTTCAGATAAATTGTGAAGTTCTACTGTGACTTCTCTTTAAAGATGAAAAAATGAAATAAAAAACATGAGATGGGCATGATGATATGCCTGTGATCCCAGCTACTTGGGAGGCTAAGGCAATGCAGGAGGATTACTTGAGCCCAAGAGTTCCCAGACTAACCTGGGAAGCATAGTGAGACCCTATCTCAGAAACAAAACAAAGCAAAATAAAAAACGTCTAAAATGCATGAATTTGCTTTCAATGTCAGTATCAGTTCAGTTGGAGGAGAAATTCTAAAAAAATCTCATGAATAATGGTACAAGAGCCTTTCTACTTCCTTTCCTTTGAAAAATTAGTAAACTGTTAGGTTACAAAAACCAAAAAGTCTGTGTTCAATAAACATAGGTCTCTAGACTGAAGTTATTCTGGAAGAGTTGTGCCTGTCATACATTGTCTTATTCCAGCATCTCCTGAAGTTGTAATTTGGAAAATTATTAAAAAGAACATAATTCCTCTCAATTCAGTTGCTATTTTAAGATGATACATGTTTGTTTACATACATATATATATTCTTTGAAAATTATTCTTTAATTTTTTGTCTCCCTCTTATACGCTAATTTGAATTCATTAAACCTACACCGATCTTAAAAGAAAGGCTTACATTAAGCAATTTCTTCAGTACTCTTTGGATATAACTCTTTGTCCAATTTAAAAACCTAAAATTAACCCTGGGCCATTTCACTGCTGTGAAGATTAAAATTACTTTTGGATATATCCATTATGTGTTTTCCATATTTAGGTTATAGACTCACAATCCTTTCTTAATTTGCAAACGCTTTTAAAGTATATTTTTGTTTTAATGGTCAAACTAAACATTTATGCCCTAAATAATAACAGTGAAAAAGAATTACTTCAAAAAATTTGTAATTCAGGTGAGCAGTAATTGACCTATGCCCATTTGCTGAAAACCAGGCGAAATGAAATTTAGTCTTTATTTCCAAAAGGCATAAGAACATACTAAATAGCAAACATCATAGACCAGACATCTATCCTATTTTGACAATAACCCAAGGAGTTTATTTTGCAATAAACCTTACATCAGTTGCCTTCCATGTTATTTGTCTCAAAATGTTAAGCTATCTAAGCTACTCTTCTTCCAAAGAAGCCCTGAGACCTCCAGGGAAACAAAATACACGTCATTCTCTTTTCCTCTTCACTATCCACACACTTCCCTGAAATTTGAGACGGGTGCTCTAAATAAGGAAGAAGAGAGTGAAAAAACCTATTACTCCCTTTTTCCCAAATCTTTTAAATATAAAATTTGTGTTACATTACTTATTCAACTTATGTCACCCCCACTTTGCAGGATAGGTAAAAGAAAAAAGTAGTAAAATTTTTTGAAATAAAATCAAAAACTAAACATTGCCTGGTTCAATCTCCAATTATGAGAACTCTTCCATAACATACTTGTTATGGAGTCAAGACTCTCTGGACACTTCCATACAATATTTAACTTTTTTTTCTTCATGGGAAGCAAATTGGATTGACGAAACATTATTTTCCCCCTTAAAAAAGAAGCACATGATTTTACCTGAGTGCACTTTCCCAGAAGATTGATCTTACATATAGTACCAAAATTTTTAAAAATGTAATTTTTGTAGACATCATTTGAAAACTATCTTTCATTAGCAATAATGTTAGCTTCATTTATGCCTCATACAGTGCCAAATATAGTAAGAGTGTCATAATTCTTTATCACCATGGTTCCTGGATAAATTAGAAATGGGGTCAAATTACTTTCTTTTTGACTCTGTTATGGTCCCTAGAAAACATACAAAAACTCCTCTGCAAGGCAAAGATATGCCTATGTGCCTTCTCACAGTCATCAGAACAATGTAGGTCTTGAAGTTAAAGTGGATAATACTTGTAGATTTGTAGGAATCTCATCCTCAAGTAGAAAACTTGTAGACATGTGAACATTCCCATTTATTGCTTTGTGGTTTTTGTTTGTTTTGAGACAGCGCCTTGCGCTGTCACTTATGCCAGAGTGGAGTGGCACAATGAGAGGTCACTGTACCCTCAACTTCCCTGGATCAAGTGATCCTCCCATCTCAGCCTCCCAAGTAGTTGGAACGGCAGGCATGTGCCACCATGTTCAGGTAATTTTTTAATTTTATTTTTTTGTGGAGATAAAGTGTCACTATGCTGCCAAGCTTCTCTGGGACTTCTGAACTCAAGAAATCATCCCACTTTAGCCTCCCAAAGTGCTGTGATTACAAGCATAAGCCACCACACCTGGCTGTCACGTGCTTATTTGAAAGGAATATAAAGTCAATACAATGCCTAGTCTAAGATAAGGAGGAGAGGAAGCAGCCCCACATTCCCAGAAACTAAAATATTTTCCCTTTTACAGATGAGAAAACACAAAGGAGACGCTCACAGTCCCCAGTACTCCTCAAGTCTAGTTGTCTATAGTCTCTCAATGACAAAGGAAATACTTTATTTAAAAATTGCCCAAAATATATGAAAAAGGTCAGTTCATTCTGGAAAAAGCAGGTTTAAGTAAGAAAGCATTTTACATCTGAGAAGTTTTGTGTAACAATTGAGTTTACATTATTATAATGTCAGAACAGAATTGGTGATCATTAATCCATAAGTCTACTTAAGTCTGTGATATTCATAGACAGCATAACTACATTCGATATATTATTTCTACTATTCTTTGTTTAGATTTTCATCTTGCAATGAAAATTCTGTTTTTGCCTATTATTCCTTTAAAATAATCTGTTCAAAAATTATTTTGTAATATATTAAAACAACTGTTAAAATTTTACAGGCTTCATCTAAAATCAAAATATAATAAAATAAATGGACAATTCATCTTTGTAAAGTAATTGTTCTTAAAGTTCAGGATGTAATATTCTAAATGTTATTAACTTATAGATGTAATATTCTAAATGTTATTAACTTATAAATCATGCTGTAGGAGTTCAGTAAATGCTAGCCCAAAATACACTGCTTTTGTATGCTGATAACTTCAAACTGAGGGAACCTGGGGATCAGCAAATGAAGGGAGGAGCTTTCTCTAAACTTCCTTTACCTTTCTAAAGGCAGATCTTCTGAAAGAAACTCAACTATCATGACCCTCCTTCCTGGGAGTCTCATTAACCAGGGAAGATTAAACTTGTATCACAGGAGAGGACACTGGAGGCTGACACCATGCCCAGACAGACTCTGCTGGAGTCTAGCACTTCTTCTTCTGAGGGCCTACTCATCTTTCCGCAAAATCTTGTATTCTTCCCTAAGTTCACCTACATCCCCAGCTTACCCCTCTCTAATGAAGAGGGTGTAGGGTGCAGAAAGGGCTTTATCCCTTTTCCTGCCCTCATGAAGGTCATGGCCAACATCCCTATAATAAAGATTAAAAAGAGAAAAGCATAACACATTTATTTGATCATAGCTTCATGTCACATGGGAGCCTTCAGAATAAAGATCCAAATATACAGGGAAAACTACACATTTTTATGTTTAGGTTCAATGAAGTTTAAAGAGCTCTATAGAAAACTGTGATTGGACCAAAAAAAAAATATATATATATATACGACCTAATGCTAATACACTGAGAGGGAAAACCCAATAAGGCTTATGTGTTCATGTATTTCTTGGCCTTTCTGTGCAGTATTCCTTTCTCCTAAGTGTGGGGTAAGAACCCTCTGGAATGAGGGTCTTAATTTCTTTATGACCAGCTGTTACACAGATGGTGAGGGGAAAGATCAGAGTGTTATTTTAGGTTTTATGTCTGGCTTTGAGGAAAGGGTGTTCTGGTTTCAATGGCTTGCCTCAGAGACAATGAGGGACAAGAGACAAGGAAGCAAAAAAAAAAAAAAAAAAATAGG